CCACAACACACACACACACACACAACACACAGCACACACAACACACAGCACACACCACACACCACACACCGCACACCGCACACCGCACACCACACACCACAACATACAACACACAACGCACAACACACAACACACAACACACACACACACACAGACAGAACGCAAGCCGTATTTTGCAGGCCCTTCTAAGCCGTCTAAACTGCGTGTGTTTTTTGAGGTCGGCTTTTTGGTCAGGACTGAAAGGGAAGCTCCCACTTTGATCCCAATATTGCACTCTGCGCATTGGCTCTTTACCCCTGGATTAATGCACGCCATTCTAGATGTTTTCTCGGCGCCGTGTGGAGGATTTTGTTGCTAGCCGCCCCGAAAGGGAAGCCACCCATCAGTGGCCCCCAAGGCACATGAAAAGACAAATCGGGGGGGTTCTCTCAAAATGGCCCCCCCTTTTGCGGCAGGTCACAAGGAAGCGAGAGCCATTTAAAAAGTGTGATTAAAAACACCCCCCCAATACCCATCCCCCCTTTGCTTTTTCTCGCCTTATTAAATATCTGGCAGGCAGAGGAGAAGAAAGCCATGGCTGCCGCAGCCAAGGCCATGGATCAAAATCACCCGAACAGCAGCCAGAGTTCCGGATGTCCGGATTTGGGTTCCGGAAGAGTGGCGGGGGATACCTGGGCAACAAACATGAGGCGAAGGATGCCCGTGTGTTTCAAAAAGAAAAAGGGGAACCAAACACTCTTGCTTGTCTGATTTTGAGACATACCCATTTTTTCGGCTGGGCTGTTTGTTGTGTTTCTTACCCGCGTTTTTTTGGGCTCAAAAGATGGGTTGGGGCTGGACAAAAACAACCTCCCAATACTTCCATCTTCTCAGCGTATACTTGCTGGCTTCTCGTAACCCATTGGTGTCCTTGGTTTCAGCTTTCAGACCTCCACCGGCCAGACTGCAACTGGACAGAATGGGCGGGAAGCAGTCCTGAATGCTTTTGGATTGGACGTGTTAAAGTTTGAACTTTTGAGTAAACAGGAAAAAACACGTCTAAAGTTTAAAGTAGTAAGGTTTCAACCATGTATGTTTTCAGAATAACTGGTCAACTTCTAAGAAGATGCTCCTTTTCGCCCTCTCACCTGCAAGCATGTTTGTGCGTTTTTCGGGCAGGGGGTGTACAATGGCCCTCCCTTGGGAGGAAGTTTCGAGCGACCCATGCCACTCGCAGTGAGAAGTTTCTGCGGCTCGGGGTCCGTTTCTTGGAAGAAAGACCCACAGCTTGGACGCGTCCAAAGGGTGGGATTCGATGTGAGGCCTTGGTTGTAGGGATCTCGCTCCCCGGTGCCCCCCCCCCCCACAAAAAAACAACACAAGAAACAGCAACGCAACTGTGTTCCTTTGGTGTCCCTTGCGAAGAGTACCAAAAGGGGTTTCCTCAAGAAGGGGCCTGTTCTGATTTTAGAATGTTTTCCTTGTGGTTTCCCTTGAAAACCAATCCCTACAACAAGCTTGGTTTTGAAGGGAAGCCACCGGAAAAAAAACAAAGTGTTTCGGAGGGTCCAACCTAAAACAGATGCAGGCCCAGTTTTGAGGAACCGCCCATGTGAGCGTCGGTTCCCTCGGGAGGCCATGGGCAAAAAGAAGCCGGGGGCCCTGGAATCGAAGTACGCGCCAGGAGCAAAAACAGATCGATCCAGGGGAACAATACGTCCATTTTTTTGTCTTTTTAATGTTTCCCTCTTGGTTTCAAAGGGAATCTATCGCTGCTGGAAATAGATGTTATTTTTTGCCAGGGGGCTTAAGCAAATGGAAGAAAGCAGGATGCAAATTGCCCAAGGGCCCACCTATTTGGGTGTGGTTCTTTTGCTGTTTTCGAGGGTGCCCTTGTTGGGGGTTGGCTATTTTCAAGGGAAACCAATGGTCAGTTTGGGAATCCCCTACACAACAGATCCGCCTATTTGGCTGATTTGATTACATGATTTAAGACCGTGGACATTCGCTCTTAGCTTTTGAGGAGTTACCAGCAGATGGATCCACGGTTTAAGACAAGACCCATTTGGCACGCGAAGAAATGGACGAAATCCGAATCCGCCAACCGGCAGCGGCTGAAATTTGTGGTTCAGGATTTGTCCATCCATGGTAGGTCGTCAGGATTCAAGGGATGCCAACATTTGGCTGCGCCTGTGGTTTTTTGGGGGGAATGGTTTGTGTTTCCTTTTTTGTTTGGGGTTCGGGGGGGAACCGAAGGAACCCCACCGCTTTGTAAGGGGCCCCCGGAAAAAAACAAAAAAATCCAAGCGCAGCCATGTACAACTGGGGGGATCCATGCCGTCGGATTGGAGAGAAAACATCAGGCACCAAGATGTCAGGCCAGGGCACCATTGTGATGTGGGGGGAAGGGGTTTCTTTCGGTCCGTTTCTTTTGGTTTTCTCCTTTTTGGACACCTGGAGGAGTCAGGGGAAACCATCTCAAGACGGATGAACTTGAGGGGAAATCCTGTGATTCCTGTGGCTTTCTTTCTTTCAGGGGATGTTCGGTTTCCCTTCCGTCTTCGGAGGGGGGAAAACCCATGGGAATGGAAAGCATCCAGACTGATCAACATGGAACCCCAACGAGTCCGTCCGCTGGAATCTCCGAGTAGGGGCCAGCGTCAATCTGCATGGCAGGGGGTTGGGGGGGGGGGGTTCACACGCTCGCCATGATTTTCAAGTTCTTTACCTCCCATTCAGGTTTTGGGATTGTATAATTTGCATATCCCTGAAAAGGATGGGTTTTGTAAGCTTCCCTGTATAGTAGATAGCCAAGGGAACCACCCTTGAAAAACCAAAAGGCAAGTGGGTGGTTGCCCACAATAATGGCCTGCTTGGCACCCCCAACCTCCTTCCCAGGTTGACCAATGTCTGTGCCCTTGCGCATCCGAGGTAGATCTTTCTGGCTCACGAAGACCGGCAATTGCCCGGCAGAGCCGCAACCAGAAACTTCCAAACAATTCGCGAGCTTAAAAGTCCTGGAGTTGGGTCCCATGGGAGTGCAGCTTTGCCTTGATTCGTTTGTGGTCGCGCTACTTGCGCTTCCATTTGAATCATTGGGGCATTGCAAGCGGTGTGGTGAGGCGGTACACCCGACCGCCGGTATTCAATCAACTACCCTCGGTTTCGCACATTTTGCCTTGGTTGAAAGGGGAACCACGAAGACAACATGAATCCACAATTCTGTGGGGTCCCCGACCATCGAGGAGTCAAGATGGGGGCTGCCTTTTGATATCCCTTGCTAGGCGGCAAGGCTCAAGAGGGCCAACTTTCTAACCTCCACCCTCAAAGCATGGGGGCCATTACCCAACCCCCCCCCCAAGCAAAAGACAAATTACTCGGTTGTTTGTTCGGGTCACTGGCGCATCCGTATCAAAAAGCCAAGTCTTGAGGGTCCCGAGCCACTTTGTCGAGGGACCAAAGCCTTTCAGAACTTTTTTCCTCGTTTTTTCCTCATTTTTTTGGGGTAGGGTCCCCTTTAGACTCAACCCACCAAACACTCAGTTGTTCAAAGCCGACCTTGACCTTTTGGTTTTCCCATTTTGGTGCATATTTAGTCATGGGCCCCAAAAGGTTAACCTTTTAGTTGCAGGTCCTTTGGGCAACTGAGAACAAGGATGCCCCTTGTTTCTCCCATGGCAACTGGGCATCTGAAGGATCTAAGGATTTCCACCAACCAAGACCGTCTTCTTTTGCCGGATTGGCTCGTTGGGGATTTTACGGGAAGAACATGTTTTTTGGGGGGCTTAGTCTAGAGGGTCCTGATTGGCTTGGGGGCGCTACACAAAAGGAGGCATTTGTCACGTGCCTCTTGAATCACACAAGGTGCTTCTCGGGGATCTCTGTTTAGAGTATGTTTGAACCACCCCAGGCAGCATGAAGCGATCGTTTCGGTCGACTTTCCAAGAGAGGCTACGCCGTTTGTGAGGGGTGGGGAAACTTCGAATTGGGGACCGGATTCTGGCCACGCGGTTCAGGGATTATCATTGTGACTGACATGTATGTGACCCGAAATGGGTGGTAACTTGTAGCGAACGGGTTCCTCTCCAACGCAGGGTCAAACCAAAAAAACGGCGCGGGCCGCGGGCTTCGACAATCTTTGCCAGCCCCAAGAGTCTTTGATGGCATAACATCCATACGCTTTTTATTATTATTATTATTATTATTTTGAGCCTAGGTCTCCCAAGCTGTGAACATTTGACCTGAAAAGAACAAGGCTTAGAAACAACCGTCCAGTTCTTCGGTGTCCTTTTCGGCGTCGGCGAGCAAAAGGTTTGCCGGTTTGGTCTCAAAATGATGCGCTGCCCCCTGGTGTTTGGCTGTGGGCTTCTAGCTTCTGGGTCCTTCAGGGGGCTTTGAATGACCGAACACCCAGCATCCAAAGCGCAGCCTGGAGTTGCCCTGTGATCAATACATGGTTCATGTGTGCTTGTGCAAGTGGCATGGTACTTACATGGATAAGTCTCCCTCTGTTGCATGACAGCGCTGAGACGCGCTGGCTTTTTTGCACCGCAAGCGCGGGCCAAAGAAGACGAAGAAACAGACGAAGAAACGCACGAAGAAAACACTCAAAGAAGGGGAAGCAAACACAGAAGCAACAAGAAGTACCCAAAGCAACCAAGCAGCGCAAATCACGTGCGGTGGCAGATCGCATTGAGTTCAACAACAGTTGGTTTGTTCAAGGGTACATGATTGGATGTAGTACTCTGTGCGACGCAACTTTGGTTCATAGGATAGCCTTGTTGTCCAGCCAATCAACAATAGAAATGGTTTGATTTGCAACCCGATTTGACTGAAAGTTCCTTTCGTAGGGTTGTATTTTGCAGTTGGGGGCATACATGTGTGCCGGGGCAAAGGCAGGGCCAAGGTCGACTTTGACACACGTGTAGAGAACAGCAAGCTTCGCTTGGGGTATGGGTCAAAATTAAACCAGGAGGGGACCGCAGGTTTTGGTCCATGTTTCCACTTACTAGCCCCCAGCGGAAAGACCCCGGCATCTCACACAAAACATCGCGCTGAAACGCCCCTCTGCGGGAGCATGGCTCGAGCGGATGGTACGCTGGAGAGAGACTTGGCGAGTTTCGTGTCGAGAGATTCTCTCGGTCTTGGGGTCTGCGGACCTGAGGGTTGACATGGCACAAATCGGATTCCCATCTGGGACTTGCTGGCGCGATAAGGGAATGAGTTGGAATGAGCTGGAACAAGATCCCCGAAATACTGAAGCCCACCAAATCGGATGGACTCGTTTTTTTTTTTCATGCCATTTCTCAGGGCCCCTGCTCTGTGAGCAGAGCCTCTGAGCGCCTCAGGACCTGCTCCGGGCCGCAGAGCCCCCGGCCGCGGACGCCGCGGATCCCCCGAAAGCGGCTCCGGCTCCGCACGCGGCGCCGGCGGCCCATGGTGCCAATGGCGATGCGGAGGAGGCGCGCCCCCGAGGAATCTCCTGGGAGTCGGAGCCGAGTTTTTTGGGGTTCGGTTAGTTCATTTGCAGAGCATGATTTATGAGCTTCCCTTTGCGAGTCTTGGGAGATCTGTTTTGTCTCTTTGAGATGAGTCAAAGAAGCCTCTCCGGTCACGCCACTGAAGCCAAATCTGTGTCCATGCACATGTGCCGAAGTTGGCCCAAGGCCAATGGTAAAGCGCTGGCCTTTTGGTTTCCCTCAACAAAATGGGGCTACGAAGATGTGCGACCAACCCTGGACAAAAGGATCGATTCGTTCCCAAAGATCAACCAGGGGACTACAGGGCCCTCCCAACCAAAGGAAAATGAGGACCTGCAGGTATGTGGTGGCGTGTGTTCCAGCCACCCCTTTGGTCAGGTACCCCTTGATTGGTTGGATTACTGCCCACCAAACCACTCACCCAAACCCTGTCCAAGATGAACACTCACGGACCCTTTTTGAACCCCTTTCGGTAAGCTGGGGCAACGCCCAAAACCCCGGGGGGTTTAAACTCCACACCGGAAGCTGGAAGCTGCGAGCCAACGAGCCAACGAGCCAACGAGGACGACGACCTGCCGCCCTTGGTGTCCCATGAGCCGGTGCTGACGGCCGACGCCTGGGTGGATCCGGAGCCAAACGACCCCGACCCGCAGGAGTGGCGCTAGAAGGCTGTACCCTAATGGAACCCGGGTAAATGGAAAAATGGACCAAAACCTGCGGTCCCCTGGTGGTTTAATTGTGACCCATACCCAGAAGACTTCCAGTGCTTCCAGTTGGAGCCAGGGAAGGTATGGCTATGTTATCATGGTTTTCTGGCCCATACTGGAAGCACTGGGAGATAGCTGGGAATCACTTGGATAATCTGTGGGTTTGTTTTTAAGTAGGGGGTCCCACCCACCCACCCCGAAAAAATAATAAACAAATCACAGCATTTGCTTTGGCTTCTCTTTAAAACAGGCACTCTCAAACAAACAAATCATACCTGCATGTTGTTGGTCGAGACCTGCACTGGCTCTCAGTGGCACAAATGTGTTTTTTTGGGATGTGTTGGGCACGGACCATGTAGGATCTACAGGAAACCACTTCCCGAACTCGCACAAAATCCCAGGATTTGTTTTGCCCAGGCTTTGGCTTTTGCAGGCGGACAGTTGGAAGGGCTGTAGCTTGTTCCCCAACTTTTGTTGTCGGAAACACCCGAACAATTTTGATGGCAAGCTCAAGGGACCCATTCATGGGTGCACCTCAAACAAAAGCCCGAGGAACAAGCATAGGTCACCAAGTTTAGCCGAGTTCAAAGTCAATCCTTGATCCATTTGGAAGAACCCAGTTTGGCAGCGGGTTGTTTTGAGACTTGACACGGAAGAAATCATTTGTTGGCATGCTTTGTGAGAGTGGTAGTGGTTTCCTTTTATCCTGAGAGTGGGTGATGGACCATTTTGAACAACCACTCAGAGACAGAATCCCTACCATAGGTAACCATGCAGATCCGATTTTCCGTTTAGATTGTCTCTCCCCTTCCAGTTGCCGCTACGTAACCAGGGATCCGTACCAGGTCTTACATGATGGTTTCGCCTGGTTATATAAGTGGTGACCGTTCTTTTTTTTGGAGGGATTCCCACCTTTGAAGTCTTGGTAGAAGTCAGTTGGCTCACTGGGAAACATTTTACATTGCTTATTGTGGTTTAGTGGTTGAAATCCAACCACTTCACTGCTAACATTTAGATTTCTCCTCCCCTTCCAACGTCAACCAAGTAAAGGGAGTTGTCCCCCTTTGGTCAGGGGAAACCCCCGAACAAGGTACCTGTTTTGTGTGTGTCTGTGTGTGTTTCTTGGGAAATCCAAAGGAAACTGAAACTCATTTGGGGGGGTTCAGGTTCCTATGTTCACCAGAACACCCAGACTTGGCAAGAAACCCCCGTGGCCTGGTGCTCTCTCCCGTTCCTTTCGGACCAACCTCCAGGACGCGCCGACGTCCAGGCCTTGGACTTTTCGACGTTCCGATCGAGGGCTTCCTCAGCCAGGGTTTTAACCCCGCGGTTCCAATCCAGCCAAACTTCCGTTTGCTGAAAGCAATATTTGTTATTTTCCTCTGGTTTTTTTTCCAAGGGACTGAAGCAAATGGAGGCACAAGTTAGGCTTTTTTCCGCAAGGGCTTTTGATTCTGCTCCTTTTTCTGTCAAACCGAGGATTCGGATCTCCGGCGTCTTGTTTCCCAATATTCCGGGCGAATCGCATACCAAGATTCCGGGGATCGGGCTTCCCATTTTGTAAAACGACAAGGCAAAAGGACGCCAAATCAGCCGCCAAGTTTTGGAGTACAACGGAGGCCAGGATCCTTCCAGGCGCCTTCTTTCTTAGCCAATCGAAGCCTTTGAGGGGGTTCAACACTTGGGTTTGTCTCATAGGAATCAGACCCCCCCCCAACATGGGTGGTTGCCTCTTTTTAACACCATCAAAAGAGGGTGACCTCAAAAAACACAGACACATCCATTTTGGAATGTATTTTGCAAGTGCCTCGACCAAACCCAAGTACTAACGACTCGACGGGGTAGACAAGAATCCGCAACCCGAAAAGAAGATTTGGCTGTCGGAAAAAGCTGGCGCCCAAAAGTTGCTAAACAGATTCTAATGAACGTGGTACGCAAAGGTATGGGGATTTTCTCAGATTCTTGCAACCAGAGCCTTTGACTCGAAAGGAAAAAAAAACAAAAACATCCACCTTTTTTTGTGCCTCAGGCAAGAGGAGCCGGAAGCTCAAGAGGTGCCGGAGGAGGAAGAGGAGGAGGAGACCAAGTGGCTCGTTGAAAACCACTATGTAACTTGGTGGCTCCCAGCCATCCCCTTAGCTTTTTAGCCTTTTAGTGTTTAGTGGTAGTTTCCATTTAACCCACTAAAAGTTAAACTTTTAGCGGGAATCTGAGGACAGCCCAGTTGAGAGAATAGTTTTAGCATTTTGAGGATCTCGCTTTTGAATGTCCCGGTCCTAAAATTGCATCCCAAGTTTCGCCACCTTCCAGGCACGGGCAAACGGCCAAAAAAAGCTCCGAACAGATGTGGGAGTTTCTCCGCGGATCGCCCGTTGAGTGCGTGTTTTTGGTGAGGGTCCCTTTCTCTTGAATGCGTTTGGGTTGGACCTCTCCGTTATTTTTTGGGGAACATGATCGACCTTCAAACAAATCACTTTTTGAAGGCTTCACCTTGTCTTAAAGAGGGAACCGAACGACAAGGCGCAGCTTTTCGTGTTTTCTTTTGTTAGGGGGGGGCGCAAAGCAGGTCCAGAAGGCCCCTTCGCCAGGAGGAGGAAGAGATCTCTGAGTCGGAGGAGGAAGAGGAAGAGGCGATGGGGATGCTTTGCCCATTGACGGGGGGTCAGACGAGCTCATGTAGATTCTTGGACATGGATCCACTTCACGTTTCAGTTGTTGTTTGATTGTACAAACACCAAAGCACAGATTTGGTCTTTTGGGTTTCAAGGGATGTGTATTCCGAGAGCGGCTTGCTCGGTTTCCTTTTGAGAGTCTAGATAGCCTGCCCTGTGTACAGTTGCCTTTTGCTTTTTTGCTTCCCGCAAATTCATCTTTGTTTTATTCAGGGGTTGACATCATGCCTTGAAAGATGGTGTTTGGAGTGTTGACATCATACCGAAATATATTTTATTTGTGGCATCGCATGTGGAACGTTGGGGATGCGACTGACACAACTTTCTGTAAAGACTGACAAAGTCACGGTTCTTGGATCCAACCGTTTAATCGAAAGGACCAGAGGATGAACATGGGATAAAGAGAAGGGAAACAGACAAGAAAGGGATGTAATCACCTGTCTGTCCTCTCTTCCTTTCCCCATTCACCATCTGTTTCTACCGGTGAATGCTGGGGAAAGAAGGGAGAAAGGAGAATGGGTGACAAGAGATCCCATTCCTTTCCCTTTTTCCTTTCCCTGTCACCTATCTTCATTCCGGAGTGAAAAGAAGGGTGATTGCCCAAATCTGAGAAAGCAGCGACGTCACCAAACGGTTACGAGTCCTTGAAGGGGGCCATTTCTCTGGCAAGTTTCTTCGGCCTGTGCCGAGCTACCCGCAGTTGTGGGGTCCCCCAAAGGAACAAATAGGGGAAAATCGGTTCCCCGATGGGTACATGGAAAGGACTAGGACCTGCTGTGGTCCACTTTTGAATTTTCACCCATATCCATTGAATATCCATATGTCAATCTGTTTTTGGTTTCCGGTTCTTTGCTGGAGGTGGTTTTAGCTCGGCCAAAGCACTTCCATCACCTGCCGTCGCTGCGGGTCGTCGGATCTCGTCGCCGGTCGCAGGCGGAGCCGGTGGTCTTCGAGCAGCCGCCCTTGGAGAGAATTGAGCGCCCAGAGCCAGAGGCGGGGTCCGGGAGAACGAGCCGGAAGTCGGAGGCTTCGGATCGCACCCCGGATCTGTGTCGATCAGCTGGGGGTTCCGAAAAAGGGGTGAGAAGTTCCAAATGTGGACACCCCCATGTCTCAAACCCCCAAAAGTGGTCTGGATTTCTGAAAAAGGGGACCCCCCATGTCTCAAAGTCAGGGTCCACCCTCCATGAGTAAAACGGGAATCAATTGAAGGCTGCGCCGCAATCACGTACAGCAGAACCCGGCAATCACGTACAGGTGAACCGTGCAATCAAATATGGGCTGCAGTGAGTTTAGGATTGGTTTGGGGTTGGTTTGGGGTTGGTTGAGGGTTGGGTTGGGGTCGGTGTGGGATTGGTGTAGGGTTGGTTTACGGCTGGCTTAGGGTTGGTTTAGGGCTGGTTCAGGGTTGCTCTAGGGTTGGTTTGGGATTGGTTTGTGCGTGGTTTAGGGTTGGTTTAGGGTTGGTTTAGGATTAGTTTAGGGTGGGTTCAGGGCTGGTTTGGGGTTGGTTTAGGCTTGGTTTAGGGTTGGTTTGGGGTTGGTTTGGGCTTGGTTTAGGCTTGGTGTAGGGTTGGTTTAGGGTTGGTTTAGGTTTGGTTTCGGGTTGGTTTAGGGCTGGTTTAGGGTTGGTTTAGGGCTGGGTTGGGGTCGGTGTAGCGTTGGTTTAGGGCTGGTTTAGGATTGGTTTAGGGTTGGTTTAGGGCTGGTGTAGGGTTGGTTTAGGGTTGGTTTAGGATTGGTTCAGGCTTTGTTTGGGGTTGGTTTAGGGTTGGTTTAGGGTTGGTTTAGGATTGGTTCCGGCTTGGTTTAGGCTTGGTTTGGGGTTGGCTTAGGGTTGGGTGGATTTTGGTTTAGGGTTGGTTTGGGGCTGGTTTAGGGTCGGTTTGGGGTTGGGTTGTGTTCGGTGTAGGATTGGTGTAGGGTTGGTTAAGGGCTGGCTTAGGGTCGGTTGAGGGTTGGGTTGGGGTCGGTGTAGGATTGGTGTAGGGTTGGTTTAGGGCCTGGGTAGGGCTGGTTCAGGGTTGGTCTAGGGTTGGTTTGGGATTGGTTTGTGCGTGGTTTAGGGTTGGTTTCGAGTTGGATTGGTTTAGGGTGGTTCGGGTTGGTTTAGGATTGGTTTAGACTTGGTTTCGGGTTGGTTTAGGGTTGGTGTGGGGTTGGTTTAGGTTTGGTTTAGGGTTGGTTGGGGGGTTGGGCTGGGGTCGGTGTAGGGTTGGTTTAGGGCTGGTTTAGGGTTGGTTTACGGCTGGTTCAGGGTTGGTCTAGGGTTGGTTTGGGATTGGTTTGTGCGTGGTTTAGGGTTGGTTTCGAGTTGGATTGGTGGTTCGGGTTGGTTTAGGATTGGTTTAGACTTGGTTTCGGGTTGGTTTAGGGTTGGTGTGGGGTTGGTTTAGGTTTGGTTTAGGGTTGGTTGGGGGGTTGGGCTGGGGTCGGTGTAGGGTTGGTTTAGGGCTGGTTTAGGGTTGGTTTACGGCTGGTTCAGGGTTGGTCTAGGGTTGGTTTGGGATTGGTTTGTGCGTGGTTTAGGGTTGGTTTTGAGTTGGATTGGTTTAGGGTGGGTTCTGGTTGGTTTAGGATTAGTTTAGGCTTGGTTCAGGGCTGGTTTGGGGTTGGTTTAGGGTTCGTTTGGGGTTGGTTAGGTTTGGATTAGGGTTCGTTTAGGGTTGGTTTCGGTTTGGTTTAGGGTTGGTTTAGGGCTCGTTTCGGGTTGGTTTACGGTTGGGTTGGGGTCGGTGTAGGATTGCTTGAGGTTTGGTTTGGGATTGGTTTCGGGTTGGTTTAGGGCTGGTTTAGGGTTGGTTCAGGATTGGCTCAGGCTTGTTTAGGGCTTTTAGGGTCGGTTGGTTGGTTCCGGCTTGGTTCAGGCTTGGTTTAGGGTTGGTTTAGGGTCGGTTTAGGGTTGGTTCCGGCTTGGTTTAGGCTTGGTTTGGGGTTGGTTTAGGGTTGGGTTGAGTTTGGAGTAGGGTTGGTTTGGAGCTGGGTTAGGGTGGGTTTGGGGTTGGGTTGGGGTCGGTGTAGGGTTGGTGTAGTTTTTGTTATGGGCTGGTTTAGGGTTGGTTTAGGGATGGTTTAGGGTTGGTTGAGGGCGGGTTTAGGATTGGCTTGGGCGTGGTTTAGGGTTGGTTTCGGATTAGTTTTGGGTTGGTTTAGGATTGGCTTAGGGTGCGTTCAGGGCTGGTCTACGTTTGGTTCAGGGTTGGTTTAGGCTGTGTTTGGGGTTGGTTTTGGCTTGGTTTAGGCTTGGTGTAGGGTTGGTTTGGGGTTGGATTGGTTTGGTTTAGGTTTGGTTTAGGGTTGGTCTAGGGTTGGGTTGGGTGTAGGGTTGGTTCAGGGCTGGTTTAGGGTTGGTTTAGGGCTGGTTCAGGGCTGGTCTAGGGTTGGTTTGGGATTGGTTTGTGCGTGGTTTAGGGTTGGTTTAGGGTTTGTTTGGGGTTTGGGGTTGGTTTGGCTTTAGCCAGTGTTACAACAAGCTGTGACATCATGGCGTAATTTGGAATGACAACCCAAGCGTCAGGTATTGAATCACAACTTGGGACTGGGCTTTGCTCGTTCCGGGGCTAGACAGTCTGGCAAGTGGACCCAAACTCAACCAATCGACCAAACTCGACCAAAGTGGACCAAACTCCACCAAATTGGGCCTAACTCGAGCAAAGGCCCTTTCGCCAACCTCAACTCAAAGTCAACTAACATTGACGCTCGAGCCAAATTCGACCAAATTCGACTAAAATCGACCAAACTCAACCAAAATCGTCCAAAATCAACCAAACTCGACCAAACCCAACCAAATTCGACCAAACTCGAGGAAAATCGATAAAAGTCGACCAAACTTGAACAAAGGCGACCAAGCTCGAGCAAAATCCAACTAAACTCGACCAAACCAAATTGGACCAGACTCGACCAAACTCGACCAAACCGACCAAAATTCGAGAATTTTCCGGTTGAATTCAGTCTGGTGATGGACTGACTTGGTATGCCAGCTGGGGCCTCCGGACGTGTGCTACACCATTGCGCCTTACGAGCACTACTGGCTGTGGCCACAGTGGCTGGAAGATGCGCGCTCCATACTGCAACGGGATGCAATGCAACTGCCACCGCTGGAAACAATACATCTGCTCCACTCGCTCCGCCAGCTGGTGGTTGGCTACATGGCTGGCGCCAACGGCGACAAGCCGACGCGGTGGCGGGAACACGTGCTTCGTGACGTGCAAGACCCTTCTCAGAAGACTGTCCTGGCCGTGTGGCTACGCTTTGAGCTGCAAGAAGGAGAGAAGGCGGCCCAATCCGACAAACTTGGGCCAATGCGCTCGACCAAGGTCGACCAAACTCAACTCGAAGTAAAGTTGACAGCATGCGACCAAATTGACCAAATTCGACCAAAATCGCCCGAAATCGACCAAACTACCAAACTTGAACCAATGCGACCAAACTCGAGCAAAATCCAACCATTCGACCAAACTCGACCAATTTCAACCAACCCGACCAAACCCGACCAAACTCGAGCAACCCCGACCAAATTTGACCAAATTCAGCCTCGAGAATCTGACCGGAAAATTTCAAGAATTTTCCGGTTGAATTCAGTCTGGCGATGGACTGCCCAATCCGACAAGCTTGGACCACTGCGCTCGACCAAAGTCGACCAAACTCAAAGTCAACTAACATCAAATTCAACCCCTGACCAAGTGCTCGCGGTTCGATTCCATTGGCGGGTTTTGGGATGCGATTGCCGGATTCGGCAATTCGCGATTGGCGGGATGGCAGTCTGTGATTGGCGGGACGGGACAGTTTGCGATTGACAGGCTCCGCGTATTCGATTGGCGGGTTACCCGCGTTTCCATCATGGGATTGGGACCGAAATAAACTTCGGTTTTCCTGATTTCCAATGGAAGGCCAACCACCAGAGAAGGCTACCCTCAAAAACGAGTTAAGCCCCATTTGGGCTGAGGAAGCAGGGGGGGGGGGTTTAGAGCGAATTCATGGGAAAGCGCAAGGGATGGTTTAGTTTGGGGTCATTCGACTATCCGGCAACCAAGAAACACGCTTTGCCATGACAACGACCCTCTTGGGTTTTTCGCTTGGAATTATGGTGAAATGTGTAGAGAGGATTGCTCACCCCCACCCAACTTGCTCCAGATGGTGATTGTGGGTTGCCTCCATTTCCCCTTTGAACCTTCAAAAGTGGCAGTCCATTGCAACTCTTGCAGGGGAAATCCAGTGACCCGTCGTTTTTCTGAAGACCTGGTCCAAGGTGCTAGTTGCAAGGCAAGTGTCGGAAGTCTCGGGTTTGTGTGTGAGTTCAGACGCGTTATTTTTCTTTCCGGGAGCAATGCTTCAGGGGACTCCTCGAAAACCCCTAGAAGATCCGGATATAAATCCCATGTGTGGGGGGCCGCCTTTTCCAATAGATTCAGACAGGTAGTCGGTTGCTTGTTTTGGCCTTATTTGGCCTTATTTGGCCTTATTTGAGGAACGCATCCCCTTGATGGAAATTTGGACCAGGTCTTCCAGATGGTGACTGTCAGTGTTTGGCAGGGTCCAAGGTTCCCAAAGATGCAGGGAAACCAAATGAAACCAGTTCGTCTCAAATTCGGGGGTTCCGGCAAACCACATGACACCAAAAAAGAAACCACACATGAAACCAAAAAGTGAAACCAAGAATGAACCCATATGAGCCTTCAATGAAACCACCTGAACCTTCAACAAAACTCATAGAAACCAGCTACAGGAAGAATTAATTCTACAGGAAACTAGCCAAATTCCCAGCAAAATCAGGGGTTTCCTGTAGAACTTGTACGTTTCCTGGCGTTGCACACTTTTCAAGAGAGCCCGGCGCCTCGCGCGCCAAAAGCGCGCGCCAGGGTATCGCCGCAGGGCCCTGGCGCGCTGGGCACTTTGAGCCGCCCGGTGGAACTGGGTGGAAGAGCTGCCCTGTGAGTGGGCGCGTGTGTCGTTAAGATACGCCGCAAAATGAGAATTTGGGGCGTTCCTTTACTAGGGTTTATGCAGCGAATGGTGCCAACTTTCTCACCCAACTTTTTGGGTTGGGAGGGCTCTCCTGCTAATGGTCGTGGGTTTGGTTGACTAGGTCCCCCAGCGAATGGTGCCAACTTTCTCACCCAACTTTTTTGGTTGGGAGGGCTCTCCTGCGAATGGTCGTGGGTTGGGTTGACTAGGTCCCCCAGCGAATGGTGCCAACTTTCTCACCCAACTTTTTTGGTTGGGAGGGCTCTCCTGCGAATGGTCGTGGGTTTGGTTGACTAGGTCCCCCAGCGAATGGTGCCAACTTTCTCACCCAACTTTTTTGGTTGGGAGGGCTCTCCTGCGAATGGTCGTGGGTGTGGTTGACTAGGTCCCCCAGCGAATGGTGCCAACTTTCTCACCCAACTTTTTGGGTTGGGAGGGCTCTCCTGCGAATGGTCGTGGGTTGGGTAGACTAGGTCCCCCAGCGAATGGTGCCCTTTCTCACCCAGCTTTTTTTGGTTGGGAGGGCTCTCCTGCGAATGGTCGTGGGTTTGGTTGACTAGGTGCCCCAAATGGTGCCAACTTTCTCACCCAACTTTTTTGGTTGGGAGGGCTCTCCTGCGAATGGTCGTGGGTTTGGTTGACTTGCTAATGGTCGTGGGTTTGGTAGACTAGGTCCCCCAGCGAATGGTGCCCTTTCTCACCCAACTTTTTTTGGTTGGGAGGGCTCTCCTGCGAATGGTCGTGGGTTTGGTTGACTAGGTCCCCCAGCGAATGGTGCCAACTTTCTCACCCAACTTTTTTGGTTGGGAGGGCTCTCCTGCGAATGGTCGTGGGTTTGGTTGACTAGGTCCCCCAGCGAATGGTGCCAACTTTCTCACCCAACTTTTTTGGTTGGGAGGGCTCTCCTGCGAATGGTCGTGGGTTTGGTTGACTAGGTCCCCCAGCGAATGGTGCCAACTTTCTCACCCAACTTTTTTGGTTGGGAGGGCTCTCCTGCGAATGGTCGTGGGTTTGGTTGACTAGGTGCCCCAAATGGTGCCAACTTTCTCACCCAACTTTTTTGGTTGGGATCCTGCGAATGGTCGTGGGTTTGGTTGACTAGGTCCCCCAGCGAATGGTGCCAACTTTCTCACCCAACTGTTTTGGTTGGGAGGGCTCTCCTGCGAATGGTCGTGGGCTTGGTTGGGAGGGCTCTCCTGCTAATGGTCATGGGTTTGGTTGGGAGGGCTCTCCTGCTAATGGTCGTGGGTTCGGTTGACTAGGTCCCCCAGCAAATGGTGCCCTTTCTCACCCAACTTTTTTGGTTGGGAGGGCTCTCCTGCGAATGGTCGTGGGTTTGGTTGGGAGGGCTCTCCTGCTAATGGTCGTGGGTTTGGTAGACTAGGTCCCCCAGCGAATGGTGCCCTTTCTCACCTAACTTTTTTGGTTGGGAGGGCTCTCCTGCGAATGGTCATGGGTTTGGTTGGGAGGGCTCTGCTGCTAATGGTCGTGGGTTTGGTTGGGAGGGCTCTCCTGCTAATGGTCGTGGGTTCGGTTGACTAGGTCCCCCAGCGAATGGTGCCAACTTTCTCACCCAACTTTTTGGGTTGGGAGGGCTCCTGCTAATGGTCGTGGGTTTGGTAGACCAGGTCCCCCAGCGAATGGTGCCCTTTCTCACCCAACTTTTTTGGTTGGGAGGGCTCTCCTGCTAATGGTCGTGGGTTTGGTTGACTAGGTCCCCCAGTGAATGGTCCCCTTTCTCACCCAACTTTTTTGGTTGGGAGGGCTCTCCTGCGAATGGTCGTGGGTTTGGTTGGGAGGGCTCTCCTGCTAATGGTCGTGGGTTCGGTTGACTAGGTCCCCAGCGAATGGTGCCAACTTTCTCACCCAACTTTTTTGGTTGGGATCCTGTTAATGGTCGTGGGTTTGGTTGACTAGGTCCCCCAGCGAATGGTGCCAACTTTCTCACCCAACTTTTTTGGTTGGGAGGGCTCTCCTGCTCATGGTCGTGGGTTTGGTTGGGAGGGCTCTCCTGCTAATGGTCGTGGGTTCGGTTGACTAGGTCCCCCACACTAAGTCCCCCAGCGAATGGTGCCAACTTTCTCACCCAACTTTTTTTGGTTGGGAGGGCTCTCCTGCTAATGGTCGTGGGTTTGGTTGACTAGGTCCCCCAGCGAATGGTGCCAACTTTCTCACCCAACCTTTTTGGTTGGGAGGGCTCTCCTGCGAATGGTCGTGGGCTTGGTTGGGAGGGCTCTCCTGCTAATGGTCGTGGGTTCGGTTGACTAGGTCCCCCAGCGAATGGTGCCCTTTCTCACCCAACTTTTTTGGTTGGGAGGGCTCTCCTGCTAATGGTCGTGGGACCAGCGAATGGTGCCTTTTCTCACCCAACTTTTTTGGTTGGGAGGGCTCTCCTGCTAATGGTCGTGGGTTTGGTTGGGAGGGCTCTCCTGCTAATGGTCGTGGGTTCGGTTGACTAGGTCCCCCAGCGAATGGTGCCAACTTTCTCACCCAACTTTTTTGGGTTGGGAGGGCTCTCCTGCGAATGGTCGTGGGTTTGGTTGACTAAGTCCCCCAGCGAATGGTGCCAACTTTCTCACCCAACGTTTTTGGTTGGGAGGGCTCTCCTGCTAATGGTCGTGGGTTTGGTTGACTAGGTCACCCCAGCGAATGGTGCCAACTTTCTCACCCAACTTTTTTGGTTGGGAGGGCTCTCCTGCGAATGGTCGTGGGTTGGGTTGACTAGGTCCCCCAGCGAATGGTGCCAACTTTCTCACCCAACCTTTTTTGTTGGGAGGGCTCTCCTGCGAATGGTCGTGGGTTTGGTTGACTAGGTCCCCCAGCGAATGGTGCCAACTTTCTCACCCAACTTTTTTGGTTGGGAGGGCTCTCCTGCGAATGGTCGTGGGTGTGGTTGACTAGGTCCCCCAGCGGATGGTGCCAACTTTCTCACCCAACTTTTTGGGTTGGGAGGGCTCTCCTGCGAATGGTCGTGGGTTGGGTTGACTAGGTCCCCCAGCGAATGGTGCCAACTTTCTCACCCAACTTTTTTGGTTGGGAGGGCTCTCCTGCGAATGGTCGTGGGTTTGGTTGACTAGGTACCCCAGCGAATGGTGCCAGCTTTCTCACCCAACTTTTTGGGTTGGGAGGGTTCCCCTACTAAAACAGACGAACCAGAAAAAGGGCCCCCCCAAATGGACGTGGTTGGGGTTTAAAAGTGCCCTTCGTTCAGCTTTTTGCAAGTCGTCGGAGCCGTATGGCCGCCCAAAAGCAGTTGGTGCGAAGTTCTTTGAGTTGATAGCCCTCTTTTGGTAGGTTTTGGAAGGGAACCTTGAAAAGGAATACCGAAGCCATTTTGGGGGTCCAAGCTGAACAAAAGACAAGGCCATCTCACGCCTTGTTTTTTTGGGGAAGGGGGGGGGGGGGGTGGCGTCAGTATTGGATCTAGGGGTACCTTCCCCATTCTTTACAGGGATCCGAATCTTTGCAGGAAACCATCCAAAACCCAGGGAAACGGATCCGGTTTTTGAAAAGAACGATGGTTGAAAAGAATGGAAAAGGAATCAACCCCTAGAAAACTGCGCAACTGGCATGGGATTCTGGCCGCACCTGGACCACTGGGTAGATCTTGGCCCCTATTCGGCCCCCACATTTACTTCCTCAATTGGCGTCAGAAATGGAGTCTTGATCCAAGCCCATGGCTGAAAAACAAGTTCTGAGGTTCTTCGCAGCCTTCGATAGCGGCAACCTGGCGAATGCGCGCCTGGTGTTGCCAGAGGAGGAGTGATTTTGGTGGATTTGTGGGAGGTGGGGAAAAGGAAGAAGACTCTTTTTGTTTGCATCTTGCTTGGATGTTAGTGCTTTCACTTTTTGCCAACTAATGGGTTTTCCATCTAACCACAATTTGTTAGTCACTTTTAGCAGGGGAGCAGAAAGCAACCGTGGTGAGGGACTTTCTGAGTTCCATGCGAGCCACTTTCGGCAAGGGAACCACCCTGCAAAACAGAAGGGCACTAGAGTGAATCTTTTCCAACGTCCTTTGGCCCTGTAAATTGCAGAACATTCTAGCTCCAAAAACATATCGAGCAAGGAGCATGTGGCCTGTGCGGTCCACCAGGCTGGGCCTTGCGTTACAAATGCGGTCCATTGGGTTCGGCCTTCGGTTTGTTCTCGATTCCGTTGCTTCGGGTTGGGTTCGGCCTGAGAAAGTGTGTCGACTTATTTGCCGCGCTGAGAAACCTGGGCGAGTGTTTGTTGGGCGTTTGGGGTGTGGAAACCCAGGAAATGTTGTAAAAGGTTTGGAGACCCAAAGAGCCACTGCAGAAACTGCGGAGGTTTTTCTTTGACGCATAGTTTGAGCCTCGGATTTCAAAGCAGGGTGGACAACTTGGGCTTTGGGACCAGTTTCATCCAGTTTCTATGGGAAGCCCGTGACAAAGTCAGGGATGTGAATCCCCCACAACCATCTTTCAAAAGTTGCCTGGGTGTTGGGTTGTCCCTTTCTCAACCAACACCGATTGGCGAACTCGGCGTGCTCCAGGAGTCGTGGTCCGACCGAAAGGAACGGTGGTTGGAAAAACCTCATCTCAGACCGGTTCGTTCGACTGGCAAATCCCTGCAAAGTTGCCTTTCCCTCAGAAACTTGTACAACGACACCAATTGTTCAACAGAACAAATTTTGAGAGGATTGGTACCCATATGATCTCTGCGAAAAGTCCACTCTTAGCGCGCCGGACGAAACCGCGCTGACTTGGGACTGGAATCGAACAACTACCCGTCAAGTAGTGGTTTAAAGGGAAGCAACTCATCCCCCATTTCGTTTTGTTTCAGAGCGCCTCACACAGGGCTCCTTAAAAGATACAAATTTTGCAACCATTTGAAGCATGTTGCTTTTTCCGTACCAAAATAAAGGGAGCCCACCATTTGCAAGGCAATGTTCAGGTGTTAATCATGTAAGGATCTGTGTCAAAATGTTTGCCCCAACCCAGTTACACAGTTGCCCCGTAAAAAGCGGAGACCCTTTTGGGTTGGTCAGGAGCATTTTTAGATCTTGGGTCGGGGAAGCCACCAAACAAAACAAAATTTGGACATTCTGTTCAAGCATCGTTCTTTTCAGACACCGGATCCGTTTTTGCCGTTTTTGTTTGGAGGGTTTCCTGAAAAGATTCGGGTCCCTGGGTTCAGAATGGACATGGAAGCTACCCCTAGGATTCCTTCAGTAAAACGGGACATCCCCCAATCAAAGTCAACCAGTTAAACAATCCCAACATCAACAACATGGAACCCCAAAAAACCCACCCTCATTGCCAGAAAAAAAAAACAAAAAAAAAAAAAACGCCTTTTGGGGAAAAAAGCACCCAACAATGGTTTCTATGAGTTTATTGGGGAGAGGTCCAGGTTTTTCTTTGGTGTTTCTATGGTTTTTCAGCCGCGTTGGATTTGGCTTGGCCGCTGCATGGCTTGGGCCTCAGGAGGCCGCGCCCAGCGCGGAGGATGCGGACGTGGTCTGGGCGGCGCAGCCAGAGAGTGACTCGATTTGAACCGAGTGCTGTTTGCCGGGAGTGGCTTACATACTATTGCAGCCACCTATTCCGAAGATTCCCTCGCCAAAACATATGCTTTTCGCTGGTGTCCTCCAAAAAAGCGGGGGGTCTGTGAAGGGTCTGCTAGGTCCCCCAGCTAGGTGCCCGTTCTCACTGTTTCTTTTTTGGTTGGGAGGGTTCCCCTAAAATAGACGACAGAAAAACGAAACGGTACCAACTTATTCTAAGCTCTCTACTGGAGGACCTAGGTGCTGTTTGCCGGGCGTGGTTGCTTCCATTTGCTGAAGACTTGGGGGTTGATCACAATGTCCTGAGAACATAGGATGACGATTGGGGTTTCCACTAGAAGTATGATATGTCCCGCTAAATGGAAAAAGTGACCCATGGTCATGTTGGGGCCAGGAATATTGATCAACCCCCATTTGTTATTTTCTCTTGTTGGTTTCAAAGGGAATCAATCACTGGAAATACATGTTTCTCCCGCCTAAGCAAGCGGAATGTTGCGTTTGTTTTTGTTGTTCATGGGGGTCTCTTTCGAAGTCGTGGGGATGGGGATTTGCTCTGCTTTGGCTGCTACTGGGTTGGATCTATAGACATTCACTTTTTGGGAAGCCAAGGGCTTTTCCACTAAACCCACAAAAAGTTCTAGGGGTTGATTCCCCATTCTTTTCAACCATCGTTCTTTTCAAAAACCAGCTGTTCTCCCAGGGTTTGGGAGGTTGTTTAGAAAGAGAAGTAAAACTTTTCGCAGAGGGTTCTACAACAACCAAGATTTGGCATCGCAGATTTCGGGTCTCCAGGCACTGAGAGCCAAGGCTTTTGAGCCCCGAGAGAGCATCCAGTGAAAGAAAACATCGGCTGTAAAGTCATTTGTCTAGGGGTTGAGGGGTGATTCCAACCATTCGTTTCCACCATCGTCTCTTTTTTCTTCTCCAAAAACCTGCCGTTTTTCCTCGGTTTCCGGAGGTTTTCTAGAATGACGTATCCCTGGAAAGTATGGGGAAGGTACCCCTAGAATTTGTTTTGGGGTCGACTAGATATGAAACGGAGTTCGAATCTCACTCCCGGATGAACATTTGTTTGGGAAGACCAATTTAGTGGTAAACAAGCAATTCAGGCCAGTCCACTCAGGAAACGTGCTACATGACCCGAACAGAAAGAGAACAACACCAGGGTTTTCCAGCGTTCCTTCAAGTTGCATACACTTCCTTAAGGGAACCTTCCTTTCCCAAGACCAAGCCTTCCGTAGACCCCCCGCTGTCGGTTGGACTCCCCGTCGCCAGGTCGGCTCCTCTACAAGTTGGCGAAGACCTGCGCGGTGCGCACGGAGCCCTCTGCCAAGGCGAAGCTCATCACCAAGAAGTCCGCCGGCGCCCGGCTGCGCCTCCGGGGAAAGTCGGGGAGTCGCGGGAGTCGTGGGCGGCGGACCGTTTCCGGGAACCGCGGAAGCGGCGAGGCGGAACAAAGGGTCAGTTTAAGGCCTTTTGGGAGAGAATCCAAATATCATCCCTTTTTAGCCCGAAATGTGTGTCCACCACCCTCTTTTGAGGAGTTCCAACTCAAACATCGCCAGTGGTCAGAGGTTCCGAATTCATCCGTCCCCTCAGCCGAGCGAGCCGCCACCTGGAAAGCCGAAGCTTGGTCGCGTATTGGTGGATCTCCGGGTTGTTGAGGCCTTGCTTTCGCAGAGCCACTTGGGGTGGACTATGGTCTTAGCCCATTTTGGCCGGCTGGTTTCATGGAACCTGAAACCCGCTCCGAAGCTTCCAACCGCATGGAACGGGATCGCGGAGAGCCCCAGCGTCACTTGCTCAAAACCTAAGTGAAGGTTAGGGACAATCCCCTTGCCATTAGCTGCGGCCTTCTTTCTGGAAGCATGGTAGACCATTTTAATACCGGGTTTTGACTACTCCGGTGAGTTCCCCTAAGCAATTGGAGTGGTTGGTGAACGATTTGTTTGCAGTGTCTGGGGCCAGTTCACTCATATGTCAAGCGGGAGCGCCCCCTGTTTTTGGTATGAACGGAAGAGTTTGGTAGGAGCTCGGAGCTTCGACCGAAGGCCCGGAAGATGCAAACGGGGGGTCGGAGGCCGACACAAGGGGCAATTCTTGTCTTGACACGGTTGCGAGAACGGTTTTTGGGGCTCAATCACAGGTGTCCTTTTTTGTTGTTTAGATGGCGATTCCTGTTTTACCCGGTGGTTTAATCATCTACCAAGGCCATCTATTTCCCCTAAAAGGACACCTATGGGCTCAATTCTCTCTCCGTCTTGGGGATCGACTGGGCTTATTCGCTAGTGCAACGATGGAACTGAGAAGAGACACCCCAATGCCATGCAGAACTTGTTTTTCTCCCCACGTGGCGTCCTTCAACAAAAGAAAACATTTTTTACCCTCACGTCACTGCTAAACGATGACGATTCCCCACAGCAAACCCCTGCATGGGATACGATCCTTTTTGAAAAAGCTGGTGTCCCGCTTGTTGTCCACTTTTTGTCATTTGTTTTCATTTCCGTTGCTAGGTCCCCCAGTAGCGCCCTTTCTACCCTTTTTTGGGGGAGGGTTCCTCTAGGAAAATAGATTACCGAAAAAGAAAGGTTGGTACCCTTATTCTAACCTCTCTACTGGAGGACCTAGGTTGTATCGCAAACCCCTTCCCGAGGTGTTTCTGGAAGCCCCTTCTGCAGCTTATCCGCTCCGATCCGGATCGCAAGGTACGCGAACTGCCGACAGACCCTGCATGGGTGGCAGAAGCTGGCGGATGAGGAGAAAACCCATCGAGTCAACCCCTTGAAGTGGGGTCAATCCGGAGGTAGCTGGGTCACATATGGAGCGCTAACTGCATGCAGTTTCATTGAGGTTTGGGTCCCGAAACTTCGTCTCGCTTGCCCAAAACTGGGCATTTGACAGGTCTCATGACTTCCGGCATGGCAACCAAAGATGTCCGGGGCTCCGCACATGTTGGATCTTCTTGAAAGCGCTGGTTTGGCGTCCACATTGGCTTGGCGCATTTTCTGCGCTGTGAATGGACCAAATCTGCTCCCCCCCCCCGTAGCCCCATGACCCATGGCCCATGGGCTGGTCCAACTGGGATAAAAACGTCGCCTATCCTTCAGGAGGGTTGGGCGCAGCTCTCCGCCCCCGCCGAAGGCGGTGAGGTGAAGCGCTCCTTGGCCCGAGAAGGAAGTTCTCCGAGGGCGGGAGGTGGGAGGTGGGGCTGGGGGTGGGGGTAAGCTGGGGGGTGGGCTGGGGTGGGCTGGGTGGGTGTGGCTCAGGAAAAATTGGCCTTGGAAAAGTCCTTGGCTCTTCGAGAGACGGGCTTGTGGTTTCGTGTCCTTTTTCCCCAGGAAAGCCTGCTCTTTGGTGCCTGGGGGGTAGCAAGCCCAGAAAGCCGAGAAGCGCAGGGAATTTAGCAAAAACGTGGGCAGGGGGAAAAAATGGTTATAATAGGGGGTCTGGGGGTGGCCGGTTGCTTTGTTTTTTCACATTTTTTAATATTTTCTCCTAACATTTCTAGGGAGTTGTCCGACTTATTTGTTTTATCATTTGTTCAGTATTTGCTCGTCTGTGTTGTTTTTAATAATATTTTTACAATTTTTTCATTTTCAATAAGTCAAGCAATGGCAACCGTATTCATTATTTACAGTTTTTCAATGAGGTAATTAATTTTACCTTATTCGTTTTTTTTAAACCCCGGAATTTGTAAAATAATAGAGTATAGAGTAATTAAACACCTTATTCATTTCAACATTTTTCACCCCCAAAAAATAGTACTGCAACAGATGACTAACTCTATAAAAAATTAGTTTTAATCATATTATATTGAAATAATAACATTAAAAACAATCACCACCAATCATTGTCATATATTCAAGCCGTTCAAAAATATCATTAACTGGTTCTACATTTAATTGTTTTTCTGTCTTTGGTTCTTCTGTCTGTGTTTCTTCCTTAACAGTTATTAAATTGTCCTTGTGTCGTGTTGTTCTTTCGTGCCTCGCTCTATTATGAAGTCCTATCATTATTTTACAGCAAGGACAATCATATTGCTTATGTTTAGTTTCCTTTTCATTTGTCGTATTATGTTCCTCCATATACTCTATACTCCATACTATTTTAACTATTTTTCTCAACATTTTTTTACAATTGTTTCATTATGAAACAGTCTAAGATATTGACATTTTCAAGGTTCGGGTTTCAGACAATTTTAAGGCTTTCTGGGGGATACAAGTGTTTAATCATATTATAAGTTGTTAATATGAATAAACCAATAATATTGCTTAGGGTTACACGGGTTTCCGTGCAAGGTATCACGGGTTTCCGTGCAAGGTATCACGGGTTTCCGTGCAAGGTATCACGGGTTTCAGTGCAAGGTATCACGGGCTTCTGTGATGGGATGGAAGTGTTTTTTTGTTGCTATTTAAAAGGTCAGTTTTGAGGTGTACTCCCAAACTCTTTTGGACTGTTCCCTAAACCCTCACATCAACAACACCTACAACCTCAATCCCAGACCCACCAGCAACCCGCCCCCAAAAGGACTTAAAGAGAAAATACCTTATATAGTATAGAGAAATGGCAGGGGAATACAGCACGGGTTCAGTAATTGAATATCTATTATCCAATAATGAAGGTCAAATAAAAACAGGGAAGAATAACAAACCATTGAAAAAACTAATCATCAACAACAAAGAATACTATTACAACAAAGACAAACCATTATCCTCATCACATCAAAACAAACTCAATCAAGTCAGCAACACACAAGGTTTCAAACGATTTCATCTTCTAAAAAAAGCATCAAACACAATGAGAGGCATTAAAACGATCCAAAAATACAGATTAAAAATAGGAGCAAAAACATCAGAGACATTTTCGGCATTGAAAGGATATGCCAACACATATGCAATATCCAACATACCATTCAAGGGATACAAAGGATTAACATATCTTTTATGGCAAGAAAAGAAACTAACAGAGTTTTTACAACAAGCAAAGTCAATGAAACTACTGATTGATGTTGAGGTTATTTTTGATAAACTTAGACAGCAAGATGATGATGATGGAGAAGATGAACCAACTAAGGAAAATATACAAATAAAGCACAATATGAGAAGCAGGAGATACAACATTTTGAATGTAGGAGACTTGAAAAAAGCATTGGAAAATATACCTAAAGATATTGAACTACAAATTGAAAACTCACCTTTGAAACATTCAGGATTGAAGATTAATAAGATTAACAAAATCACCATCCACTACGACAAATACAACCCGAACAGAGCAGGTAAATATATGGAACTGCCAGAATGGATTTCAAAGAAAAAAGCATGTATCAACATTCAAAATGATGATGAATTATGTTTTAAATATTGTGTTTTATGTAAATTTTATGAAGTCTTCAAGAAAGATCATCCACAACATATGAGACACTACAAGAAATTAATAACTACTGAAAGTCTAATTAAATGGGATGGTGTGAATTTTCCAGCATCCAACGATGACATTGACACATTTGAAACAATTAACCAAAATTCTATATCAGTTAATGTTTATGTTGAAGATGAGAACCAAACCATCAGAGCAGACAGAATAACGAAGATTGAAAGACCATCTTGTCATATCAATCTATTACGAATTGAAAAAGATGATAATGAACATTATGTTTTAATAAAAGATTATAATAGATTAATGGGTAGTCAAGTTAATAAATACAAAGGAAAAACTTTTTGTTGCAGATACTGCCAACACGGTTTTACAACAGAAAAACTTTTAAATTCTCACTTAATAAAAGGTTGTATGGCAAATGACATTCAACAAACAAAAATGCCAGAAGAAGGAACATCAATGAAGTTTGAAAAGCATTTTAAGAAACTGAAAGCGCCATTTGTTATTTACGGTGATTTTGAATGTTTAACAACAGAAACATCAGATGGAATAAAGGGAACATACCAAAATCATAAACCCAGCGGTTATATGCTTAACCTTGTTAATGCTTATAGTGGAGAAATGAAACCATTTTTATATAGAGGCGAAGATTGTATGGATAAATTTTGTGATACATTAAACAATATTAGAGACGATGTAATGAAACAAATGAAAAATCCAAAAGATATGATTATGTCAGATTTAGATGAAATTAAACATTTAGAAGCTAAAAAGTGTTTCTTATGCAATGGCGCTTTTGACAACAGAGTAGAAGCGAAAAAGAAAGTTGCTGACCATTGCCACTTTACTGGATTATACAGAGGAGCGGCACATATGAAATGCAATATAGACTATTGCTTTAAAAAGTATCATATACCAGTATTCTTTCATAATCTTAAAAACTATGATGCTCATCTCATAATATCAAATCTTGAAAAGTTAAACACAAAGAAAGAACAAATATCAGTAATAGCACAGAACAGTGAGAAGTTTATTACATTTTCATTAAACAGACTTGAATTTAAGGATAGTTTCAGTTTCTTGTCATCATCATTAGATAAACTTGTTAAATTAACAAAATATGAAGTGAATAAATTGAGGGACAACTGGCAGGATCATTTCAAATACAGTTTCAAAGGCAAATACATAAAAAATGAAAAAGATTTATTTTTACTGACAGAAAAGGGAGTTTATCCTTATGATTATTGTAATGACTTCAATAAATTTAATGACACTGAACTACCAGAAAAGAAACATTTTTATAGTAGATTAAGTGAAGAAGATATAAGCAATGCTGACTATGAAAGAGCAAAACTAATATGGAAGCACTTTAACATCAAAAAGCTTGGTGAATATCATGATTTATATCTAGAAACCGATGTATTATTATTAACAGATGTATATGAGAATTTCAGAAAACAATGTCTAACTGATTATGAATTAGACCCAGCACATTATTACACATTGCCTAACTTTGCTTGGGACGCGATGCTATTAAAAACAGGAATTGAGTTAGAACTTTTACACGATGAAGATCTTTATAATATGATAGAGCAAGGACTAAGAGGCGGTATGTGTCAGGTTTCAATGAGAAAAGCAACTGCTAATAATAAGTATATGGGAGATGCTTATGATGAAACAAAGCCGTCGTCCTATATCAATTATTTAGATGCTAATAATCTTTATGGTCTGGCAATGTGTAAGAAACTACCATATAAGAATATTAAGTTTGTAAAAGATAATTTCTCAGAAGAAGACATTAAATATTACAATAGTGATTACAGTAGCAAAGGATATATTTTAGATGTTGATTTAGAATATCCGAAAGAATGCCACGACAAACATACTGATTACCCATTAGCACCAGAAATTATGAGTGTATCAGCAGATATGCTTAGTGATTATCAGAAAGAAACCTACAAAGCATATCATTTTAATCATGCTCCAAAAGATGAGAAAACAAACAAGTTGATACTAAATGTTATGGATAAACAAAATTATGTTTTACATATTGACATTTTAAAATTCTATTTGAAACAAGGACTTAAAATCAAGAAAATAAACAGAGTAATAGAATTTAGACACAAGCAATGGTTGAAACCGTGGATTGACTTTAACACAGAGAAGCGAAAGAACGCTACAAGCGACTTTTCAAAAGATATGTACAAATTAATGAACAACGCTGTATACGGCAAGACTATGGAAAATGTGAGAGAACACATTGACTTTGAGCTGGTTGATACACCTGAACGATACCAAAAATGCGTTAATAATCCTAATTTCAAATACAGGCATATCATCAATGAAAATCTTATAGGAGTTGAAAAAGCAAAAAGTGTAGTTAAATTGAATAAACCAATATATGTAGGAATGAGTATTTTAGATTTATCAAAACAACATATGTATTCATTTTACTATGACATTATGAAACCGAAATATAAAAATAATATCAGAATGTTATATACTGATACTGACAGTTTTGTATTACATATTAAAACCGAAGATGTATATGATGACTTTAATGACATTAAGGATTATATGGATTTCAGTGGTTATGACCCTAAACACAAATGTTATGATAAAACAAACAAGAAAGTTTTAGGAAAATTCAAGGATGAAGCAGATCATAACAAACTTTATAGCATTGAAACCTAAATCATACTGTTTCAAGATACATAACGAAGAGAAAGAAGAAAAGAAGAGCAAAGGAATAGTTAAACATAAAGTGAAGAAGGAACTGT